TTAACTCCTGAAATGCCTGTGACATTAGCTATTTTAGACTCAATGTATAAACAATTGCCATAACATACGTATGGAACAGATTTCATCTCAATCGTTTTGTCAATACTTTTCAAAGGAAATGTCATATGGTATGCACCCAGAAGCAATTGAACTCTATGACTCATTCGTGTTATCTTAAACTCCTTCGCATAACTGAACTTCAAAACTCCTGCAATAAGTTTAACATTCATTAAGTTTCTTCGTTATCCTTGTTTATTGTAGTATTTATGAGAGCATTTAACACTCCAGCTAATGTTTCCATCTTATATTCTACATTATTGTGAAATTTATTCATGCTTCTTTCCATCTATTTCAAGCTCCATGAAATCTGTTTCATCTGTTATAACGAATGTTGCGATAGTATTGAAGTCAACAACTCTGAATGCAAGTGGTCATTCTGAAGACCTAAGTTTGTTTGTAGCTTTACTGTTCCGTATTCGTTTGGGTCTGTACTTTGCAAATAGAACAACATTTTATTCTCATTAAAATATGAGTATTGCTGCATATGCGTATGAAGCTGACAGAGCTAAACGTTTATATTTTGGTCAATACTCTCTCACACTTACTGACAAATATATTGTTATTTCTGATGGAAATACTGAGAAATACATAACATGGAAGGACTATGAAAAGTTTGACCCTATTTTAACTCCATGTACAATGCCATTCATTGTAAATGGTGAAGTTGTCATGAAGAACGACACAACAGTATATAAGTCTGTTCATGAAGCGTTAGAATATATGTTGAATTATAATCCCGAAAGATTTGACCCAAGCACTACACCATGTGCAATGCCTTTTATTAAGGACGGTGAAATCGTAAGAGTTCCGGATTCAACGGTTTATACTGCTGTTCAAAACAGTTTACAAAACATTTTAGCGAATATTTTAATTCAGAAACTACAGAAATAAAATTACCATATATAACAGATGCTAAAGAAATTAAATCAAAAACGACAACATTATTTACGTCACTTAATGATTTAATGACTTATATCATTAATATTCCTGCACCAACTACAGCATTTGATCCAAACTCGACGGTTTGCAGTGTACCTTTCATTAACGACAGTTCATTAATTGCTTTAAGGGATTCGACAGTAAATGAATCATTAAAGGCGTCATTAATGAAAATCATTGATTTTAACTCATTCATGAATACATATAATTCATTCATTAATGTTTCATATGCTTCTAAAGAAGGTGAGCCAAAAACTATCGATAAAGCGGTGTATGAAATAAAAGCATCAACGACGAAATTGAATTCGTTAACTTTTGACGGTGATAGTTTCGTTAATGACATAACATCGGGGAAAACAATTTTAACGAAAGAATATTTAAAATCTCATGTTAGTGAGTTCGTTGAAATTGAAAAAGAAGGTGGAATTAAGTTCGATCCACTGAATTTCATTTTCAGCTTAGCGAATGCGGGTGTTAGTTTCGCTGAATGGACAACTATACAGAGTGAAATAAATGCAATATGGACGTTTTTGGGGTCAAAAGCGGGAATGGGTGAGCTTGTAAATGCTGCAAGAACATTAGGTGAAACAGGAAATTTTGTAGATGGTTTTAAAAGACTTGTTTCAAATGTTTTAACAAACACAAAGAAATTATTTAGATATACCATACATAACGGACGAATTTTTGAACAGATAGCAACAAACCCTCCGGTTATGGCTGCGTTGATGATGGTTAGAGATATAAAACCACGTAACGACGGGAACGAAGAACATGAACAACAGAGCCCAACGGGCTCAGAGTCACATAGTGGCGAGGATACTGGTCGGGTTATTCAAGACATTAAAACGTGTATCCTGAAGTTATTGATTTATTTAGAGGAGTTAATGATTCAATTTCAAAACATTCTATAACCCTCGATGAAGAGAATAAATTAACAGATTATATATTCGTCATTATTGCAGAATTAATGAAGAGAATAAATGAAAAAGGAATTGGTGATATCATTAATGTCAGCGATGTAATGATGAAAAGAAATTTTGACTCATTATTTACAAAACCGAAAACAGAATATAGTCTTTATGACGTAATTACCGAATTAATGAAAAAGATTAATGATAATAAGAGTTCTGGCGGAAGAGTTGAATTAGAAGTGAATGATGTTAATGAGAAATTAGCCGAAAAAGCAGATAAAAACCACGTTCATTATATAACTTCAGACGAACAGATTATAACGGACTACCATGGATATTTAACACGAAGTGATGAAGCGAAGACAAAAAATGTTAATGAAAGAAGATATAAATACATTCGTGCTAAAGGTTATGACATAAGCTGTACTGTACAGTATGATGTAGCTAAAGCACCAGAAGCATTTGGTTATACCGGTGAAATTTATGCCTCTACTTTCAATGTTAATGGTGTATTAGTTGAACCAAGATTTACTTTGAGAGTTAAGTCAAAAATAACGTTTGAAGATGCTATTAAAAGTAAAGCTGACAAAGATGAACTTGACGCAACGAACAAAGTTTTGAAATCTCATAAACACAACATCTCCGATATAAATGAACTTCAAGCTACATTAGACAGTAAAGCCGACAAGAACCATACACATAAATCCTTCACTACTGTTAGAGCAGACGACATAATATTGAACTTTGACCTTGGTTCAAGTGCACCATTAGAAAATCCAAGTACAAGCGTAAAAGATACACTAAACTCCTTAAATAACAAATGTATGAATATCGAAGATCATGTCAGAAACTTTGAAACACATGAACTACCAACAATGTTAGATAAGAAAGCAGATAAGAACCATACACATGATTTCTTCACAACTGTTGGTATAGAAAGTATTGAAGGAACGGTTGAAGAAACTGGTGGGGATGCATTATATTGGAAACCTCCTAACTTTCCACAAGGTTTAACATCGGATGACGACATAACGACGATGAAATACATTAGATGTAAAGATGTTTATGTCATGGAGGATGAAAATAATATTAAATTCACTGCTCAAGATTTATATGACAAGAAGGCTGACAAAACAGAGCTTCAAACATTAAAGACAGAAATACTTCAAACATTATATCCTATAGGCTCTATTTATACGTCAATGAACTCAACAAATCCAGCAACAGTTCTGGGTTTCGGTACGTGGGAGCAGATTGTAGATAAATTCTTATACTGTGCGAACTCTTCAAAGCAAACAGGAGGTTCGAAGAAAATTACTGAAGCAAACCTTCCACCGACACTCATACAGGAACACAACTTTTCTGGTGACCATAGTCACTCATTAAGAGACCATCCATTATACAACTCAGAGTATGAAGCTGGCAATCGAGTTTCTCCAGATTATAACCATTCAGCAAAAAAGACTTTTCGACAAACTGAACCAGGAGGAAATATTCACACACTTTCACAACAAATCAACAGGCTCGGGGCAGATTATATGCCACCATTTGTGACTATATTCGCATGGTACGCGTTCAATGAAGCGCTTGAGCCTAGAATAAAATTAACTTTACATAAATGAGCTTGAAAGAAGTATTCGAACAACATCCATGGAGGTCATTTAAGAAATTCAATGAAGCTGCAAAGAGTTGGGGATTTACTAACAGAGCTGAAGTGAAAAGGTTCTTTGACAAAAATGTTGTACATCAAACAAAATAAACCCTTACGACTACTTTTACCAATTTACTCCAACATCCTGACGCATACCAATTTCACTCTCATTCAAAGCAGAAAAGGAGGACATAAACATTCTCATCTTCATAAATGTTACACTCGTAAAGCATATCATTCCAATGAGAAATAAAGGAACTCGTGAAGTGTTAAGAGTTTTACAAAAGTTTGTAGCAGAACATAACCCAAGTACTTTAACATCAGACCAAACAGTGCATACCTCAGCAATGAAATCACAGAATTTCTCATTAAGCATAACATAACTCACTACACTACTGAAGACCATAACCATAACATACTCGGCATCATAAACCGCTTCATAAGGACTCAGAGATTTAAACAAGAGCGAGACTTTACGAAGAAACAATGAAACATTTTCTCGAAGTATATAATTCCTCAACACATTTACAACAGGACATACACCAAATTCAATGACACAACAAGAAGAAAAGTATATACAAAAGAAACGAAGCCAAACACAAATATCAGAAATTCAACACAATTTACCCTCATTCCTGGAAAAAAAGTTCGTGTAGTTCTTGACGACAAACCGTTGACAAAGAAACGTTTAAGGTTAATCGAAATTATTATATATCGTAGACTCTACGCAAGGTAATGGATATCTTATAAAAGCTGCTGACGACTCCATAGCGTTTATCCTCGACATAAATTAGTTGAAAGTAGTAATGGCAAACTTGCTGAACCATTGACGAAGCAAAGCGAGGAGTGGTTATTGAAATACTTGGCTATAACACAAACGATGACACTTATAAAGTAAGATATGAAGGAGGCGTTGAAGATGTTATACCATCTAAGAACTTGAGAGAGTCGAAGCCAACACATCTGGGACCATTAGAGCGGGAGTACTGGAAAGACAAAAATATGCCAGAAAGAATAAGAAAATTCTTCTAAACTTTTTCATTGGATGTAAATCAGACAAAAATAATGTTTAGGTGAAGAGGTGAGATTTCACCTGTTTTCTCACCTCTTTTTTCACCTCTTGAATTTTCATGAATTTCCTTAAGATAGAAAAATAAAGTTAGTTTTATTTTATTTATTTTTTTTATTTTGTATGTAAAGATATGATTTCAACAATCGGCACAACAACAATACAAGCCGCGAACGGCGGGACTCTGTCCACAACAACAGCACCAAACTCGTTAGTCATGAATCCTACGTCAATGTTAGTAGAGATGAAAAACTTCATTCCTTCTTCATATACTTTCGAAACAAAAATCCAGAAGATAAAGCAAGAACTTTTAACAAGTAATTTAGACTGTAGTGCGAAAGATGAAGAAAATGAAGAATATCTTTATGAAATGCAGGACATTATTGACCATTTACCCAAATTGCCTGAAATCCAACAACAAAAACTCACTATTCCTGAATTCGACGAAATTGAAGTGAAACCAACTGACTCAGTAGAAATAAAGAAGTTCATACGTAAAGTAAATTATGAATTCCTTGGTTTTCATTGCAACCATAAGGTTATGGACAAAGATTGCGACATGGTATATAAAAACATTTCTGACATATATAAATCTGAGGAGTTTAAGACTTACGATAACTTTGTTTCATTAGTTGCTGAATGTGTTTGGGAAATAAGAGATAAAGATAGAAGAGGCAAAGTATGGAACGAACAAATAAGACCCGCTATGTTTGAGATGAAGAAAACCATTGACGCCTTAGTTGTTTTAGCAGGTAAGGTTTCAGAATATAACGCAAAAATGAACCCGCAATGTTCAAAATGTAAAGCAGGAATAAGGAAATATAACTACTCAGTCAAAGAGATAGAAAGAATGAGAAACGACTATGCAGACTTAAAGAAAGAAGCAGAAAAGCCAGCAGAAGATAAAATGAACATGTTAGAATTTCTGAACAAAAACTATCCAACAGCAGAAGATTTCCTTCTATCTGACGTCAAGAAGAAGTATAAAGAAACCTTCGGTATCGTTAAAACTTTTGACATACTGACAGAAGAAATAGAAGCTACGAAATTGTTTAGGATTTCAAATATACATCGTACAATTCATGTGAAACGCTTGTGAAAAAACTGGGGTGAAAAAAGAGGTGAAAAAAGAGGTGACATCTCACCTCTTCACCTAAACATTATTTTTGTTCAAAGCTTCCACGAGAGAAAAGATTCCTCATTTGCTAAGGATTCCAAAAATGAAAAAATCATTGATTTCAGCTGAGAAAAAACAGCAAAACCCTTCTTCCACGGGAACAAAGAAATAAAGAAGAAATAAAGAAGAAATAAAGTAAATTTTTTATTTATTCCCGTGGAAGATAGAGCACTTTATGACACTTTTTATTCACGACAAACAAGACAAATAAAGAAAATAAGAAAATACGGCGCTGTCGCGGTTCGAACCACAGACTCTGACCCCTCCATAACACCACCTTAGACCACTGTGCTACGTAGCCTGTCGACATAAGATTTTATAAATTGCATATTTGACGTAAATTTATTTCCATCTAGCTTCCCACCGCATAAGATATTCATACGTGTTTGTAAGACATTCATTAAACTTCTTTTCTATTGCATCTAATCTTGCGTTATTTTTTTCAATAACTTGTCTGTATTCTTCATCATCTCCAGCAGTGTTTGGGTCTTCACGTTTAAAATATTCATTGTTAACCAATTTTTTATCTACAAATTTTATTAGTGTTTGATTCACTTCGTTATGATAACGGTCATATTCTTTCAATACGTAAGTGAAGACAAAATGCGTCGTACCTTCAATCTTAAAGCTTAAAGAACTTTCAACACAGTTTTGAGGGTCTGTCAGTGCGTCAATGAGATAGTATTCGAAGTCAGTCAATAATCTTTTTAAAGTCATTTCATACAGGATAAAATTTAATGTTGTGAAGAAATAGTGTTTATCTCAGAAAAAAATAAAGTTAGTTTTTATTTTATTTATTTTTTTATCCTGTATGTAAAGACAGATATGTCAACATTAGAGAACACAACAACTGCTATCGTTCATGAAGTCATAAATGAAGAATACGAGTACATACAATATAACAAACAGTTACGTCTCATTCGTTCTGTCAAAGACGACATGTATCAAATGCAAAGTATAATGACGGCTTGTTTTGCTCCAGATACTAAGCTTCCTAAAGACTGGTTTAGGAACCAAAGCACCATAGAACTATTAAGTGAAGCACAGCGAGACGTACTTTTTTCTGAAAACAGTGAAGAACAGCGAGTAGGTAAAAAATCCCAGTCGCCAAAACTCTATGAAAACCGTGAAAAATTGCCAAACGGTTTGAGAGGATATTATGTTCATAGACTTTTAGTAAATGCAGTTGCAATGTGGGCTTCACCACGTTATGCTTGGAATATTTACAAACTTCTTGACGAACTTCACAGACAAGAACGTGGAGAGATGGAAAAGAAACTTCAAGCAAAAGATGAAGTCATTGAATCCAAAGACAAAAGCATACAGAAAAGAATACCACGTTCAGTACCAAAAGGAAAGGAAAAGAGTTATAAGTATATGATTTACGCTGAAGAGATGGAAAATGAAGAAGATAAAGATATGGTTATGTTACATTTAGTCAGAAGAAACAACAAGAGCTTTTATGACTTAGCTAAGATATATAAATCTGACAGAAACTGGTTCTATCGTGAAAACTTACCGATTTCAATGACACCGAATGAGCAAATAAAGGAAATTGTCAAAAATACTCTTCCTCAAACACACTATGACATCAAAGGTTGCACAATACTTACCTTCAAAGAAGACTTACCATTACTGAAGGAAAAAATAACAGAATATTTCGATAACTTCAAAGAGGAAGAATGAAGTCACGACAACATTAACGAAGAAGTCACGACAACATTAACGAAGAGAGAATGAGGTGAGAAAACGGGTGACATCTCACCTCTTCACCAAAAATATATTTTTGGTTAAATAGCTTCAGGGTCAATTTCTTCAACCATTTCACTTCCTTCGTCAATGTCAATTGAAGCTTCTTCAACCTTTGGTAAGAACTTTTGTATAACATCTTTGTTCGTTATTGTCTTCAGAGATGAAGGATAATATTTCACATTTGTTTCACCCTTCTTATATTCTTTCTGTTCGGAAAGATTCATAGCAATACTGAAGAAGTCAATGTTAGAGTTCTTTATAACAGTATAATGAGTATCTTTGACATTCACGAAGAAACCCTTTTGTTTCAAAACTACTGCTAACTCTTGTGAAGTATAACGTTTGCGGTCAATGACGATAGCTAATGGTCTGACATACTGACCAAACTTAGATTCTTTCACAAACTTCTTGTTAAAGATAATATTAACATTTGAAGCATTATTGAACTCATTCTTGATGGCAGTAGCGAGAGCATTGTATGAAAAGAACTTGCAATCTTGCATGTGTTTCATTAAAATAAAAATATTAAATTATTTTGAAAAATAACTTAAAAAAATCTAATCTAATTTTTTCGAAAAAATATTTTTTTATTTCCTACTAAAGATGTATCGGAAGTTGTCTAAGTTAGAACACTCGGAAATAAAACAACTTCTTACAGAAGCTAATATAGATGTTGCAAAGCATTACGCAACAAACAAAAAAGCACTCGCTGACTTCATTAAAGACTACAATGGTGCAATAAGTTATGATAGAATTCATGAGTTCATAAAGCCGCAACGCGGCGAGGACGAAGTCCATGCAAGAGCATTTCCTTTAAATGACATTGCTATTGACTTATATCATAGACGTTCAGTACCTCATGAAGTAAGAAGAGAAATGTTTGACATAACAAATGCAAACGTTGGTGAAACAAGAAGAGCTGTACCACATGAAGTAAGAAGAGAAATGTTTGACATAACAAATGCAAACGTTGGTGAAACACGAAAGAGAGATGACACACTGAAACAACAGAGAAGAGAGATGTTTAAGAGCGCTATAGAACAAGTTCGCAAAGCTAACGATGTCATTCGTTCCATTGACGACAAACCAAAAGAAGGTGAGAGATGGTTAAAGAAAGATGAAGAGAATAGGAAGAGAAATGTGAAGACAGGTAATAGACTCATTGACTTTAACATCGAAGCTTTAGATGAACCGAACAGAGACTACTTACACAAACATTTCGGTAAGGTTTTCATGAGACTCTTAGAGAAAATTAAAATAAACTCACAACAGAGATGGATGGTATGTTATAAACTTGGTGGAAAGTATGAATGTTCTACGTTAAACCTCAATAATATTGGAACATTACTACATCAGCTCTTGAAGGAGAACTTTATATCAGAGATAGAAGCAAATGCCGCAGGTATTGTTGAAATGCACTATGACTTCTTCTTGACAAACATAAAGAATCTTACCGAAATAAAGATGTATGATTTAACAGAATATGAAGGCTTAACGATGTCAGATGTAAAGAAAGGCAAACCAAAAAAGAGACCATATAGAGATGAAAGCACACTGACAAATGACCAGAAAGCCATTTTGGAAGCTCTTAAGCAAACAGGAAACCCAGCACTTATAGAAAGCTTTTGGAAAGATAATGGTGAAAAGAAGTTTTATAAGAAGAGAAGCGGTCAGTTATGGAAGTATCTTTGCACATTACCTATAAATCTTGAACGCTACCAAATCTTCAATGAACTGAACAAAAGAACTGCAACTTATGACAGAGGACAATTGTTTCGTTTATGCTTGCATTCAGGCTGGAGTAAATGAAGAAACTATTGACCACATGAGAGAAGTCATTCGTGTTAGAGACTTTCCTCAAAGTAAAGTACAAGAAATTTCTGACGCAACTGGTATATCATTTAATGTTACCATTGGTTATTTCAATGACTCAAGACATAATGAAATAAAGAGATATATACCAAAAGAATGCGAAACTGTTAGAACTATTGACTTACTTCTTGTTGAAGACCACTACATGCTAAATGAAAGACTTCCAATGACAACATACTTTCATTCGAAACTATAAAGAAATTCTCAAAGCTTGTGGTGGAATGAACATTGAGAAACAGATGAAGATTTATACAAAGAGAGAAGATAAATATGTAGTTCGTTATGATAGAACAACACCGTTATGGGATGTTATGAAAACATTGTGGGAGTGCAAATATTTCGAACCTATTTCTTATGGAGAACTTTTCACATATACTACTGACTTATATAAACAGAACCTTGCACCATTTAAAGATTTGACATATGCTCCAAAGTATTGTGTACAACTGAAGAAGAAAGCAGAGTCAAAAGAAGTAAATAAAGCTAAATGTAAATTCATTCCTGAGCACGTTTTCTTTGCTGACTTTGAGTGTAGTACGGATGGCTTTCATAAAGCTTTTAACATCTGTTATGACAGTGAAGATGGTTCAGTGAGTGAAAGCATTTGGGGTCAAAACTGTGCAACAGAATTTTTGGAAAGACTTCCTGACAAGAGTTTAATATATTTCCATAACCTCAGTTATGACATAAACTTCATCTTAAGACACATGACAGAAGTGAAAGGAACTCCCATCATTAAAGGTTCACGAACAATGCAAATAACTGGTTTATATAAAGGACGGGCAATTATTATAAAAGACTCTTACAGTGTTATAAATAAGAAGCTTAAACTATTTCCTGCTATGTTTAACTTACAAACAGGACCGAAAGAAGTATTTCCATATAACTACTACAGCAGTGTTTTGTTAGCAAATGACAACAGAACTGGTGTCATTTCTGAAGCATGTAAGTTTATCCATGATGCAGATACATTTGAAGAACATAGATTCCATCAAAGGTTGCAGAATAGATGAAAACCACTTCGACTTAGAAAAATATAGCACGTTTTACTGCAAACAAGATGTAAGAATTTTAAGAGAAGGTTTTGTAAAGTTCCGCAATGACTTATTGAAAGAGTTTGATTTAAACGTTTATGACTACGTTAGTATTTGTTCTATTGCTAACAAATTGTTTGAGAACAGAGTATACTTCCCGAATGGAAATCTTTATGACCTCTCAAATAAACCAAGAGAATTTATTTCGAGATGCATTCAAGGTGGAAGATGTATGTTGTCAGATAACATGAAACAAAAGAGCAAAAAGAAACTCATTGCTGACTTCGACACTGTTTCATTATATCCTTCAGCTATAGCAAGACTTTATACTTTAGAAGGTATTCCAAAAGTATTGAAGGATGAGATGTTAAGCACAGAGTATCTCATGAGACATTTATTCGATGATGACCAAAAGGAACCCATTGGTGAAAAGTTTATGTCTGGCTTCTTTGTTCTCATTAAGATAACAGAGATTGGTATACCCAGACACTTTCCTTTAATAGTTTGTGACCCTGAACTAAATCCAGAACTTAATGTTCCCAGAAGTTCAAACACTTGCTGTTTAATGTATGTTGACCATATAACATTACAAGACCTCATAAAATATCAAGGTGTCAAATGTGAAGTGTTGCAAGGATACTATTACGATGGAAACAGAGATATGAGAATAAGAGATGAAGTAAAGAAGTTGTTTGAGTTAAGGTTAAAGTATAAGAAAGAAGGAAATCCTTTGCAAGAAATTATAAAACTCATTCTGAACAGCATTTATGGCAAAACTATTCTATCTCCTATTGAGTCAAAAATAACCATAGTAAATGACAAAGATGCTATAAGATATGCTATAAGAAATTACAACCATATAGTGAAGTTCGAAGGTTTGGATGGTTCAGATAAAACTATTTTCAAGCTAACGAAAAGCATTTGCAGACACTTTAACTTCTGTCCACTTGGTGTTAATATTCTGTCTATGTCAAAACGTATTATGAATGAAGTATTCTGTACTGCAGAGGACATGGGACTTCAAATATTTTACCAGGACTGTGATAGCATGCATATTTTCAATGAAGACATACCAAAGCTTGCAGCAGAGTTTAAGAAGAGATACGGTCGCGAACTTATAGGAAAGAACCTTGGTCAATTTCATTCTGACTTCGCAGAAATAACACCTGGAAAACAAAGTTTAGCATACAAGTCAATATTTTGTGGAAAGAAGACTTACATAGACTTACTCACGAATGATTTAAATGAAGTTGCATTTCATGCACGTTGCAAAGGTGTCAAACAAGACGTCCTTGCTTTAACAGCAAATGAAATGTTTCCTGAATCTATACAATGCTATTACAATGAAGATAAGAACATTCACATACCTGTTGGAACATATGACAAAGACTCTGAGTTCAGTTTAATGAAACTTTACAAAGCACTTCATGATGGTCAAGAGATTGGATTTGACTTATGTAAGTCTTCTAGTCCTTGCTTTGCTGAAAAGTTTAACTTCTCAATAACGACTAAAACAAGCTTTATTCGTAAGTTGAAGTTCTGAGGTCATTTATTTTTGTCAGCAATGAGGTCATTCGTGATAAAAATAATGAGGTCATATATTTTTGTCATTTATGTATAACCATTGTCTCTCTTAAACTTTGCAATAGACAGCTTTGTTCTTCTTCCTTCTACATCTGTAATGTTTATATAATCTTTGTTATACTGTCTTAAGACATTCATTCGTCTGTATTGAGTTCCCATGAAATAGTAAAAGGCATCTTCACTTGGGACATAGTAGTAGTTCTCTAACGTGTGATATGAGTATTGTATAATTTCAACAGCGTCTTCAGGAAGAGAGTCAACAATGTCAAACCAATAGCCATTTGAACCAGAAATATTTCTCATGTTTTCTCTTCTTGTCGTCCATCTTAAGTTCGAGATATGAAAGTCTCCTCTGTCTCTGTTTATATGGTCTACTTCACGAAGTCCTTCAGGGTTCGGAATGAAAGTTTCTGCAACTATTCTATGTTTCATCAGCTTGTGTTTGTTTAAATTTACACAAATATAACCATCTCCTTGGTCAAACTCACTAACAACTCTTTTATTGCTTATACGTCTAATTGGATAAGGGTACTCTGAAAAGATTTCATAGTCATTGTCATGTTCGAGTGTTTGCCAATGTCCTTCACCTTCCATGCCTTTCACTCAAATAAAAATTTTCAGAAAAAATAAAACTAGCGTAGATTTTACAATACTGCAATGGTAGAGTTTAAGAGTTGTGCTTCAATGTAGAGACAGTCCTTATGGTCTGGAGGCAAGAACACTGGACATTTATGGTCATGAGTGGAGTACATGTCTATCCAAAACTCACGATTGAAGCCAGTTAATTTATAGTATTTAGGGTTAGGAAGTGGTGAAGTTCTTGTATGACCAATGAACTCATTTTCAACGCCTTTGGCTATATTAGAGTAAAGTATTGCTTGCTTTCTATCCCAAATGCCAGGTGTTACAATCTTGAAAATTCATTTTCCTCGGAAGCATTGCATCATAATTGAAACATTCTTGAATCATCACTTGGTTCAGAGATTTGAAATCTTATACGTAATGGATTTTTTTTCTCTTTAGCGACTTCATTGAATGGTGAGAATACAATGATTGACAGTCATGTTTCCATCTTCATTTCATTAAATTCATAATGAAAGTCTATAAGTTGTGGCTGACTACCTTTTCTTTCAGTTGTGCAAGAAATCACGTAAAGGCTGTTAAAGTTTGTACTTCAATGTTGAACTTTTTCTCGAACATCTCATTAAATGAAATCATACATTGTTGCAATGTTGTATCGTCTTTAAAGTATTTGTATATGTGAATGTTTTGGCGCTTAAAGACTGTTCGTCATTTTCTATCTCGACTTGAAGTATAAAGTCAACCTTTCTGAAAGCACGTGTTATATACATATGTTATGCCAATGTACTTCTCTTCATTTATGTTCACAATCCAGTCTGTTGGAAACTTAAACGTTACTCTGTTCCCTTTATTTTGACGTCAGGGTTTTCACTACTGAAAACAGATAAAGGTATTTGTCTATACATTTAGTTCGGATAAAAATAAACCATTTACTCTTTCTTTGCTTCAGCTTCCTTTGCTTTTGCTTCTTCTCTAGCTTTTTTCGCCAGCAAACGTGGTTCTTCTGTCTTCCAGCAGCTAATGCAGCTAGTTGTTTTTTCACTAAGTTTTCTCTTTGGCTTCTGGCTTTGTTCTGGTTTTTGTTCCTTCAGTTCGGATAAAATTTGTTACGAATTTCTTTCTTCAATGCTTCAACATCTATGACCCCTTGGGTCTTGTCCGTAGGGCTTGTCTGAGTCATTTGACTGTAGATAAAACTAAATTAAAACTTTAACCGATGTAAAATGAGCTTGTCAAAATCAGAACGAGAGTCTATATTAAATGACGCCAGAGGAATACAACATCCTTTCTATTATGTAAGTCAGAGTAAAGATGGTAAAATATATGTAAGAAAAAAAGGTTCATTAGCGAATACAGAGAGCGACAACATTAAGGTGCATGGCAAGGGCGAAGCCCACGAAGCCCATATAAAACCTTCTGTACAAACTGAGCCACCAAAAGAACAAGAAGAAAAGAAGCCAGATGTACTTTCAATAACGAACCAAGAGCTTATTGCAAAGTTCGTGAATTTCATTGAAAGCAAACCGAGTCAAAGAACCCTGACCCGCCAGTGAAAGAAGTCGAGACAAAAGAGAATGTACAGTTCATTGAAAATGTC